CCCGCCAATTAAATTATATGTGCTACTATTTTGGTACCATCCCTATAGTGAAGTATAGCAGTTCCTGCCAACTAAATTATATTTGCCACTATTTTGGTACCATCCCTATAGTGTAGTATAGCCGTTCCTGCCAACTAAATTATATTTGCCACTATTTTGGTACCATCCCTATAGTAAAGTATAGCAGTTCCTGTCAACTAAATTATATTGCCACTATTTTGGTACCATCCCTATAGTGAAGTAAAGCAGTTCCCGCCAACTAAATTATATGTGCTACTATTTTGGTGCCATCCCTATAGTAAAGTATAGCAGTTCCCGCCAACTAAATTATAAGTGCTACTATTTTGGTACCATCACCATAGTGAAGTATAGCAGTTCCCGTCAACTAAATTATATGTGCCACTATTTTGGTACCATCCCTATAGTGAAGTATAGCAGTTACCGACAACAAAATTATATGTGCCACTATTTTGGTACCATTCCTATAGTGAAGTAAAGCAGTTCCAGACAACAAAATTATATGTGCCACTATTTTGGTACCATCCCTATAGTGAAGTATAGCAGTTACCGACAACAAAATTATATGTGCCACTATTTTGGTACCATTCCTATAGTGAAGTAAAGCAGTTCCAGACAACAAAATTATATGTGCTACTATTTTGGTACCATCACTATTGTGAAGTATAGCGGTTCCCGCCAAATAAATTATATGTGCCATTATTTTGGTATCACCCCTATAGTGAAGTATAACAGTCCCCGACAACAAAATTATATGTGCCACTGTTTTGGTACCATCCCCATAGTGATGTATAGCAGTTCCCGCCAACTAAATTATATGTGCTACTATTTTGGTACCATCCCTATAGTGAAGTATAACAGTCCCGACAACTAAATTATATGTGCTACTATTTTGGTACCATCCCTATAGTAAAGTATAGCAGTTCCCGCCAATTAAATTATATGTGCTACTATTTTGGCACCATCCCTATAGTGAAGTATAACAGTCCCGACAACTAAATTATATGTGCTACAATTTTGGTACCATCCCTATAGTAATGTATAGCAGTTCCCGTCAATTAAATTATATGTGCTACTATTTTGGTACCATCCCTATAGTGTAGTATAGCAGTTCCCGCCAACTAAATTATATTTGCCACTATTTTGGTACCATCACTATAGTGTAGTATAGCAGTTCCCGCCAACTAAATTATATGTGCTACTATTTTGGTACCATCCCTATAGTAATGTATAGCAGTTCC